AGCACAACTTGTATAAAAAATGTAACAATACAGTCAAGTACAAAACAGTAGACTATCACACGAAGTCTGCAAGATTCTTTTTTTCTTCAAATTGTTTGTCTACTGCAAGGGAAAGGGCCTGAAGAAAAGTTGACATTGTAACACTGGGGGACTGAAAATAAGAGAACATTTTGTTAGACACACCACAGCAACAGGCAGCCATAGTATTTTACATACAAATCACAGTATTTAAAAGAGAAATATTTGAATTTTATGTTACAAAAATTGCAAAATGCTATAAACCAAACTGCAAGTTTTTTTAAAATCAGCTAGCACAGCAAGTCAAAGTAAACCTGTGCAAAGTCTTCAGTCACAATACTGCACATTCACTTAGAAAAAGGTTTTTAACACATTATTATTAATCAAGTGGTAGAGGTTTGGGGTTTTTTTCAGCAAGAAGTTATAAGAGCACCAATATTAATGTTCATTAATTTAAAGTACAGTGCTCTTGGGCAGGTCAATCCCATCTCTCTTCTTCAATCCCATTCTAAATTATGAACAGCACATAATCATTTCAGTCTACAAAGCTGCAGAAACAAGTGCAATTTAGATTAAAAGGAAGGTTTGGACCAATCTTTCACTTCAGGAAGCGTTCAGATTATCTTCCTGCCTGTCTCAAAAACAACCCAAAATATAATGACCAGAATAAAGTCACTTGAATATAATAAACTTACTTGAATATAAAGTGCATGTGCTAGGAAAGGAAGCTTTCTCAGGACCCGACCACCAAGACCTTCACTTTTTCTATGATAAAACAGAGACAAGTGCTGCTTAAATGCTAAATATCTACTCTTAAAAGAAGACCTTTCCTTTTTCCATGTTTCTCCATTAAATTGCTCTGAAAGAACCTCAGATGACAATTCAACAGGCCACTTGCAGCTCTTTTAGTACAGACACAACCACTTTTGGAAAGACTAGGAAAAAAACTGGTTTGAATTCTGGACCTTACGGGTACTGCCTGTCTCCTTCTAACCACCATTTACACAGAGTTTCCTTCACCTCATCCACTTGGTGGATACTTGCATCTTCTCCAAGTGCTACTTTGTGTATGTAAAATGCAAACCTCTGTGTCTGGAAAAACTTACTTGCTTTTACTTCACTTCTCACTGGTTAAGACTGCATACTTCAGAAACAGAAAGAAAACACACTTTCCACACTTTTTTTATGAATATTGTTTTTTTTCCATAGGGATCAGTACTTTGGAAAAAAACATTGTTGGATATTGTGAATATAATTTTTATTGTTTCAAGAGCTGTTATGCTGCAGTGAAAGACCATTTGCTCTACCAGGATACTCAGCAAAGTTCAACACTTTCCATTTACACTTTACTCCTTTCCCCCTTGTTTCTGTCCACTTATATCTCCATGCTAAATACTTATCTAGCAGATGACAAGGCTTTTAAAGACACTTTCTCAGCAGGACCTAAGGCTCATGCTATTTCTGCTAAAGTGCATTACAATTCTCAACATCCACTGGAACCTAAGGCTAGTCCAGCCAGCAACTTGTCAAGAGGACTTCAAATATTTGAAGCACAAACCAGAAGCAGTACTAGGCCAAGCCAGATCTGAGACTAAGAAATGTCAGCAAATTGCAATCGATTCCCTGAACTTTTTGTCCCCTGAAGGTTTTTGCACCACCCCAACCAGAAAAAAAATGGTTACTTTTACACACCATTCCATAACTCAGTGTATATGTATGAAAAAGGTAGAATTTCAGAATCTTACCTTGAGATTTCTTTTAGTACAAGGCTTAACCTTGACACATTATTTTCTACAAAGCCAATCATCTCAAGCTCTCTGAGTGTCAGAAGCTGCTGTCGAGGATATATTATTTGACACTAGAAACGAGAGTTACACACTGTTGTATGAAAAATAAATGCATTCAAAATTAAATTCTACAGTAAGAGTGGAAATACAGAAAAGGAATGAAATTTATATATTTTTGTTACTTAGGAAGTATGATTAAAATGTAAAATCTACTAAAATATGACATTTACATTTTTGCTTTCAAGTATTACCTTCATCAGTTCTTCCAGGCAAGAAAGATATATTCTAAATATTGCTGCTATAGATGGAGGTCCAATGTATTGTTTTATGTCAGCCCTGTCTACAAAAGCCATGTCAATTTTCTCCGTAATATTTGAAGTAGTCAGGATAACTACATTGGGATACCTTCAAGACAGAAACAGATTTTTAGGTCACATGTAAAAAATTTATCTCCTTTTGTGACTGGCAAGTTAAGACCTTCCTTCCCATGATTCAAAAAATTTTATGCAATAAGCTGTCACATCATTCCTGTCAATCAGGAATTACACTAAATGATCTGAAGCTCTTGGCCAGGTATCACCAGGCTATTTCAATGCATAGTCTCTTTCCTTCAGCTGCTTCTCAAGTTTCTGTAGTTCCTCTAGTTCTATTTCAGAAGTGATAAATATTAATCATCTAGAACCTACTGGCATAGCTTCTGACATACACCAAAAAAAGATTATGAAAAGAATTGTAAATTTGAACCTTTAATCAACAGGTTTTCCATCTCAATTTTGATGTCTGTTCTCCAAGCAGACATCATGATGATCTGTCCTTTTTTCTCTCCTGGTCTTTAGGGGGAGCATACTGTCCATATATTTGATTGTCCACCCAGGTACATGTAAAATATTCTGCTGGATTACTCTTATTTCTTTTCAAAATTAGCATCATTAACAAAGAATAGTTCACTAACTAATCTGGTTTAGTATTCCAAGTAGGAATTGAAATTTAGCAGGAATAGAGGTACTGAAACTGTCAATTACCTTTTGCTGTTGCAATAATATGCAAACAATACCTTTTAATCTGATCTATTTGTGTCAGTACAGCATTGACCACACGAATAGCATCTGAAGGCTCTGTGCCTGCCTTGAAGGCACTGCGGGCTGCTGTGAGGCTTTCCACCTACAAAAACCCAAACAAATCAACCAAAACAACAACAACAACAAAATCACCAAACACTAAAAAACCCAAAAAGATAGCACTTTTGGAGTCCTGGCAGCAAACAGGTAACCCATGCAATGCACCTTTAGATTCCTGTGCCTACTACCTAAAACTTCTTCAAAATCTTTTTTTAGGTAGGAATTTCCAGGTAGAAAGAAAGGCATGTCAAGGAAGCAAAGTGAAGTGAGGGAAATTCCTGTTTAGACAGCAGAAGAGAGGCTTATTTTCATTTTAAATTTTGGAGATGGAGGAATGGGACATACCACCAGAATAATGAATAGGATGAATTTAGGTTGAGCTTCTCTACAAGAACTCCAATATGACAAGCTAATAAGGTACATACTTACTAAGTTGCTTTTGTATGCAAGTTTGAAGAAAATCTTATGACAATAAACTGAAACATTTTAAAATTTTTAGAGATTTAATGCAAATAATACAGATCTGGGCTACTTTGAAGTTCAAAACAATATTCCACTTGTAAACATATAGCAGCAAGGGAAATTCCACCAAGAAATGTTTCAAATAATTTTCAGCTGGATTTTGCCTGCTAAGTCATAGTGAGTTCCTTCCAAACTTCTCAAATCTGCATCAGCCAAGACTAAAGTTCACTCATCTAGCTTAAAAAATAGCATAAATGTGCTTTTATTCTTCTTTGTGAATGAGCACTATTGCAGCTCCTTCCTTTCTGCTGTATTTTATGTAAAACAATGCTATTGGAATCATACCTCATCAATCAGTACAAATACAAGAGCATCTCTGTCATCAACTAACTCTTGGATCTTCTGGAACATCTTGGTTACAAGCTTGCCACTCTAAGAAAGACAAGATATGTACAATAGTTAACATATGCATATGTTAACTATTTCCTTATCATATTTAAAGATGTAAATGCCTGGGTTTTAGAACAACTTTCTAATAAAACTTCTCTTTAAGCATTCTCAAACACATTAATTATTCTGAGCAGTCTCTGGTGAGCATACTTAAGAAACAAGCTCAACAGAATAATTAGTGTAATTTCTAAAATACAAAGTTTATTTTATTAGGTATATCAATACATACCTCAGAAAACCATTTAGAGAAAAGGCTATGGCTGTTTATCTCAATTAACTGTCCATATCTATACCTAAAATATGAAAATAAAAAGAAGTATCAGCTCCATTCTAAATAAAAATCAGTGATATTATTTACTTCTATAAGTTTCAATCCTGACATTTTGACCCTGGAATTCTGTGAATTAGTACTTTAAATTACTTACCTTTCAAAATAGAATATATATTTTATGGGTTACTTTTGTTGCTGGAACTTCTCATGTTGCTGAAAATGTCACTAGAATTCTGTATATTAAACTGCTATTAGAATTTCTTCATTAGAAGAGGGTAAGGAACTCTTACCATGATAATTGCCTCATTCCTCTCTTCATGTAAGATTTTCTTCAGTATAGCAAGAACTGACAAAGTATATCAACCACACATTATAGAGCCTGTGATTTTCATACATTCAGTTTGGGTTAGAGTCAGATCATGCCAATAATTACACATTACTTATGCTAAACCTTGTGTTTTATGTAACATCCATTTTTTAATATAAATTTGTTAAGTTATATACATTTTTTAAGTTATATCAACTTTTAGGCTTTATCTTATTACCTGTCTGATATACAAACTGATCTCTGCAGAAAACCGAAGTACAAAAGAAATCAGTTTAAAAAATCACTACCTATTAAAACCAGGCTCTATCAAACATGAAGATACAAAACCCAAAATATTCCTCGATCCTTTGTCCTTTAATATTCACTGACATACAAAGTGAGCAAAAATCACTGTACTGCCACTGGAATGTCTTTTACACACCTGGGCACAAATAATTACACATTTTACAAGGCCTTAAAATATTCTAATCAGTCTAGCAGATCAATTTTATTGCTAGCTTGGTGCACTACAATAAAAGAACATACATTAGCATTAGGTACAAGTTACTTAAAATCAAATATGAAATACATGTGGGCTAGTGAAAAATAACAACTAATTATAATAAGCTAAAGTGAAAAATTTCAAAAAAATTATCACCTGTATGACAGTCGAATTGTCAGTTTCTGAGCCAATGCTTTACAGAGAGAAGTTTTCCCAGTTCCAGGAGGGCCTGGTTTGAAATCAGATGCATACATTACACATAGTCTGCATTAGATTCTTAATGACGTCTAAGATTTTTAGCTACTCTATTTCATTACAGCACTAATTGTACAGTAAAAACACAGCAGGTAATGATCCTGCACACCAGAGTATTTTGAGGAAATTGCTTACTTGACTACAATCCTGGAGCTAATGTTTGATTTTATACGCTTTTCAATTATTAGTATAATTAGTGTAACATTTTGTATGTAGACACTGTAAAGTTGAAACACTCAACAGCCACAGAAGTAAAGTGTATCACCCCTGCAGGGCTAATGCTCATCAGCATTCTCCACTTTGCATCTTCCTGAAATACACTCTTCTAACATAGAAAACAGAAACATATCATGATCAGTTTGGTCAGCTGTCCACTTTCCCAGAAATTTCTTCCTTGGGGCAACCCAGATCATCTTGGGAACTATACTCTGGGACAAACTTCTTGGATCTGGCTTAATACCCCATGGAAGAGCCACAAAGACTCCAAAGAGGCAAGTACAAGCACAGTCACCAGAGTATGAGTCTGAAATAGTCTTTCAAACAAAAACATTCTGAAGCTTCTAAATTGACTGTTGTACCTTAAGTACAATCAACAAATATTTCCACTATGACCATTTATTTTTGAACACCAGCCTTGATGACAAAATCAATACAATATGTGCTTTATAAGGAAACAGATTTAGTTGATGCTAATCTCAATATAAAATAATATTTGTGGTATAACCTCCACAGTAAGATAAGACTGACTGAAGATTTCAGCTTCGCTGAAATAACAGTAACTAAACTAGCAAGAGTTTGCAACAGAACACAGTGTCAACAGCACAACACAGATTGTTTTCCCAGTTTCCCAGAAGATTTTATAAAGCTATAACTAATAAAATATTTAGTACTGCAGTAGAAGTTTAACTAATATATGCTTCCTAACATCTTCAATATCTGCATTATCTTTGTTCTTTATGTAAAAATGCAACAATATCACTTAAAAGTAAAACTAAGAAATCCGTAGTTGCCACTGCACTATAAATTTTAGAATTTAAATTCATGCAAAACATAGTATATGTGAACATTGATTTGACTCTGACATTACAATTCATCCAAATTTGTACTGTTGAGGTGCTGCTTTTGTATCACCTCATTTCACTACACAGGACTGCAGTACAAATCTTTCCAGAAGGAAAGTATAAACAGATGGCCAACGAATCTACTTGGTTTAAAACAGATCATTTTTACCATGCAGCAAAACAACTCTGTTCCATGATATCAGGTTGCTGTCAACATTTTTGTCAGAAAATAATAATGTTGTCGTCACATAATCGAGTAACTAAATGAAGAGGACAAATAGACAGAAATTAGAAACATAACAAATACAACTACAAATAGAATCAATCTCTAATGACGCCTCTATTGTGTACTCATAATAATAACAACAAAAAAGAGCTCATGTCTTCTAGTCTAGGCAATTTTATTTCTGTAAAAGATGGGAATTACTTTCTGTCCTGCCTTCAAGAATAAGAATAGCATGTAGTTGGCACAAATGGAGTTCCAGAACTCTTAAATGAATAAATTAAATACTTCAAAGAAGGGAAATTGATTTCATTTTTCATTGTCACACGTACTCTGTGTCTATAAAACACAAGCTGCATGAGCACAGAGTCAAAGACTTAAACTCTGGGTCCTGTTTATATGTTGTCCAGGTACACATTTGTTTAGTTTGTTGTAGTCAGCTCACCAAACAAAGCATTTCCTGTCACATTTACTGCCCTTTTACTTAAGCATTTATATCAGCTGCTGCCAGGGATTTGTAGATTAATTTAGTCTTCCAAATAAGGGAAAGTTGTATTTTCTGGAATGGTTGCTTTGAAAAATGCTGCAGTTTCATTTTAGAATTATCTAGCATTAGGAAGTAGAGAACTCTTTCAGTAAAATCAATATGAACTTCAGGTGTGAATCTATAATGACTTTTACCTGATAACACCTGATACCAAATTATCTTCTGTTGCTCTTACCTGTAATGAGCTTTTGATCCCTATGTATTGATGGGACAATACAATGGTGCTCCTGCATATTTCATGCTGGAGATGGAGTAATCACACAACAGCAAAAACAACTGAACTTAATCCACATATTTTTCAAAATTCTATCAACACTCTGCTACTTTGAAAATTCACAGCAACCATTTCAGAGCCCATAGAACCTAACCAAGCTCAGGCATTTCCATAGTTTAAAGAATGAAGATTTATCACAATTTTACAGCAGTAGTTCTAGTTTTAGCCATTAAAAGCAACCATGTCTTTCTGCCCATATACACTTACACTCAACAGTGATCAGCTTGCTGTTATTTAGAACACCAGCAAATCTAATTAAATAGTTTCGTCATTTCACAGATGACTTTGAAAGCTGTTCCATAAATTAGATAAATGTGGATATTAATTGATATTTACCTTTTAAATTAAAAAGTACAATCACCGGAATGTTTTGCTTTTCTGTATTTGGTTATAAAGACTTAAGTGAGAATACTGTATCTATAGTATTACAAATAACCTAATGAATTAATTATTTGTGTCCAAGAACTTCAGTTAGAAGCTGAATAGAACTATTTGTGGGTTTTATTTGCATCACAATTACTAAATTTCAGATTACAGTATTACTGTTCCACAAGCTCTAGCAGTTATCAACAACCTCTGATGAAAGCAGAGGATCTTCAAGCTAGAAAATGACCCCATGGAAGTGTTTTGCTTCTTTCCAATGTCTTGCCAGCATTCAAGTGGCAGGACACTCAGCCCTGGTCAAATAATTGAATATGTATTTGGATGAACAGTAACAGTGCTGGCTGATATTACTGCCAAGCCCATTAACTGTTTAGCTGCTGCCAGAAACAGTTAGACTCACATTCCCTTCTGCCCAGCCTACACCTATATCTCCACAGGATGCAGCAAACTTCAAACAGGCTTAATTTCAGATCTTACTTCTCCTCAAGCAATCTTAATTGCTACCCATTTCCAACTTACGTTTGATTTTACTTCAGTGTCATAGATAAGACTTTCCCAAAGGCCATGGAATTCAGCTGCAAAAGCAATGTATGATATACCTGTTCAGGATAAATCAATCTGGAAACTCGTAACTCATCATTGCAGCATAAAACAGTTTTCAAACTATGCTCAACTAGAATGAAGAATTAAGAATAGATATATGAAAGCAAGCAAAGCATCTGTGGGGAAAGAGAAAGTTATTTTTGTCAAAATTCAAACACCACTTTCTAACGGACAAGTAGAGCAGTTTCCCAGCTTCTATTTCCCCCAATAACTGTGATGAGAAATTAATGTTAATTTCTTAACATGAATTGAAAAATATCATTCCTTCCATCCTTAGTAGAGGATGAACTTACATTTCACCAAGGGAGCAATGAAAACTTGTGGTAGGAGGAGGGTTCTAATGCAAATTTAATTTTATCATTCAAGTTAGCTTTTTTTTTTTTTTAACATCAAGATGTAAGGACCAAAAAAACCACGTAGCTGAATAATGTATAAAAAACTAAAGCTGCCATCTGAGTATCAGTCATTCCTAGCTGTTGGCTTCTAACTTTCAGCAAAGAAAAGCAAAAAAGACCAAACAACTATAGAGCACAAAATCATGGCAATAACGTCAATGTATCAGATCTAATTCTTCCTGAAAACTAATGTAATGGATAGTTAGGCACTTCACAACATGGAAAGAGTAGGAAATGTTTCAAAATTATTGTCTCTCTGAGCTAAAGCTCACACCTGTGGTCTCCTTCTAGGCAGAGAATCCAACTTCCCCGAACACAAGACAGTAACAGGCAGGTCTGGCTATATCAAGCCTTATTTTTCCTCTCCCGAAGACAAGGACTACATCTCTTTACTTTGTCTGCTTCATGTATAAGAGCAGTACTGTCTTGGGGACTGGAAGCCAGCAGTGGGCTCCAGAAAATGAATATTTAAAGTGATGAGTTTCTTGTGGGTCTTCAAGTTAAATAAAACTTGGAATGCAACCACCAGTGTTAAAAAATTGCATGCTTCTGATTATGACTATATAGTTTAGACCATAAGACCACACATCCACAAGTATTACAGAAATATATGATGTATTTTGGAATCACCTGCAGTAGTTCAGTCAAAACTACAAAGGAAAAAGCCCAAACACGTTTTTTTCTATAGACAAACAATAAATACAAATAATACCTTTAACAGGTAACTATAAACACTTTTAGCCTTTGCAGTATTTTCTTTATTGCTCTAGAGCTTCCAGAAATGTCATGCAGGTACCTGCTGGCAGCACCCAGTGGTGAGCTGCAGTGATATCCTCATTCTCTTCCTCCAGGTTTTCAGAGGTCGGTCCTTCTTCATTCAGATGAAAAATATGAAGACAAAGACTGCTCATGCTCAGGTCAATAGGCTAGAATGAACATAAAAAGATTACTTATGTGTCATATTTCTCATTCAAAGCAAGCTGAACAAAGCTGAAAAGAAAGCTACAGTTCTCAGCTGGCATGTATCTCTGAACCCTAGTACCTCTGTTTCAGACCTTACTAAGCAGTAAAAAAAAAATTCAGCCACTTTCTCCTAGTTATACTAGTCAGCCTAAGAAGAGATACTACATCATCCTGTAGACCTTGTCTTGATTATGTCCTTAGGGTACCAGCAGTCTACCTACAACTAGTTCAGGGGCTGAACATAAACAGAGCTGCACATTCTTGACCAGGAATACCTGTCTGTCCTCAGGAATACCTGTCTGTCCTTCAGTTTCAGCTCCGTATCCACAATCGACACAGACTGCACGTTGTTGTTAAGGAAAGCGTCGTCAAACTCTGTCCACTTGTAATCACCAAACACGATGTTGTGTCTGTTCAACAGCTTTAAGACACTCATCCTAATATCTTCTTTCTTGGCCACACTAACAAGAAAGAAACACCATTACTTTATGGCATTGACATTCATAAGGAAATCTGAATTAAGTGTTGGAATGCGTTATTTCATACGTGAGGCCTTCATGGAAAACAGCTTCCATCTCACACACACCAAAAAACCCAACCAGCAAAAAAAACCCCAATCCTAAAATAACAACCAACACAAAAAAAAAATCAAACCCACTCAACCCTCCTCCAACATTCTACAGGAAAAAAGAACCTGTCAGATTCAGTCTGTCTGCAAAAGCAACAAGCTTGATAGTTGCTTTTAATTTGTGCATTAAAAGACATCATAATTGGCTCTGTTTGAGATCCTGTCAGGGGATACTGAATGAGACAACTAGAAGACTTCAAGAATGGAAAGTAGTTATGTAATCTGTGGTTTAGCAGGAAACCCAGAGACTCAGAGCCAAGCTACAGACTGAATTTGGTAAGCTTAGCTTGGAAGCTTCATTATACTTTCAGAACAGCTGAAATGCCAGGATGGGGACATAAGGAGAATTCCAGAAAAGACAAAAACTACGGGAAAAAGAATAGCATTTGAAGATTTAACTTAATTTTGCAATTTTAATCATCTCTAACCAGTGCAAATTCTCAGTTCTCTGTTAAGCCAAGCAAAAATGCCACAATGGATATTTCACACCTCAATTTTCCTAACACCTCAAACATGCTCTCCCATATCCTCCAGATATCCAAAGTGGTAAGATAAGAACCGGATAAATGGACAAGGAGGGTTGGACTGTCCAGCTCAGAGGGCTATGATTAGTACAAAGATTAAGCAGAGTTGTCAGTAACTTGGGAGGGGAAAGGCAGTGTGGTGCTGTTAGCATTGAGACCAGCACTGTTTTTGCATCCTTGACCATGAGACAGAACATAACTGCATCAGCTTTATGGATAACACCAAAGCAGGGAGAACTGTCAGTATTCTGGAGGGCAGGGCTGCTGTTCAGAGGGACCTCTGCAGGTTGGCAATATGGTTTGACTGGAAGCTTTTGACATTCAGCAAAGGTAAACATGAAATCTTAGCTCCCCATCCACTGCCCAGATAAGAGAACAGATCAGAGGCCAACTGGATGACACGCAGTTTTGCAGAAAAGGGCCCACAGGTACTGGTGGACAAGTTGGCAATAGGTCAGCAGTGTGCCCCCTGTTACAAATGAGGACAACCTTATTTGAGGCTGTGCTACCAAGACTGCAGATGTTAGGGAAAGCAGATGTTTCCATCCGCTGACTTTGTAAGACCACATCTGGAGTACTGTGGCAGTTGTGAGCACCGACACAAAAGAGACAAGGATAAACTGGGGCAAACCCAAAACGCGGCCAACAATTTGATTATGAGACTGGATGACATGACCCACAAGGTGAAACTGAGAGAAGTGTATTTGTTCAATCTTAGGAAGACACAGGTGAGGAAGCTCCCGGGAGAGCACAGAGAAGGCAGAGCTGGGTCCTGCGGGCTCTTGCAGGCGCGTACAACGAGGCCAAAACAGGCGCAAGTGGCAGCAAGCAAAGCTCGGATCAGAGACCTGCTCGGCTTCTGGACAACTTCCACGTGGATCTGAACGCTGTCACACACGTTTGGGAGCGCTTGCTTCAAATCTCCAGCGGCGTCATCCATCTCTCTCGCTCCTAGGGGAAAAGCGATACCAAAGAGAAGCGACTTCCAGCAGCTGCTACACACCCACGGCACGGACGGCCCTTTCCCGGTGTCCCGTCCAGGTGCACGCCGCCCACCGCAAAAGCCGGGTCCGTGATCGGGACCAGGATCGGGATCGGCACTTCCCTCCCTCAGGAGATGGCGACGGCAGCCTCGGGACACGCCGCGAGCGCAGTCTCGCGTACGGACGGGCGGGCGCCGCTCCCGCCGCAGCGCTGGGGACAGGGAATCACCTCAGGCAGGCACGGCCTCGGGAGCGACGCGCCGGAGCGACGGCAATTGCGAGCGCGGGCGAGCCTGAGGCACCGGGCACTCACCGCGGCAGCCGCTGTTTGTAAAGGGCGCGCTGGGCGAGGCAGGGCCGGCCCCTCACCCGGATCTTCCTCCGCGGCAGGCGGGAGGGTCCGCCCTCCCCAGCGCTTCCGGCGGGGCCGGCTGCGGCTCCGCCATGGGCAAGAAGCACA